CGTGGGCATTAATTTACGTATAATAAACAAGTCATGCAAGATTGAGATCGAGTGTATTATTATTAACTTCAGGTGACATTTGGTATTTGAGACGAAAGGAGGAAGGTGGGGGAGCAACCTCGGTGTCTCACCTCCTTCTTCCTCATGGTTCTTCTATTCAGGAGCAAAGATGGCGCTTGGCGTCCCCCATGGCAGCAGAGACGAGAAGAGGAACAACCGTGACCGTGTTAGCGGATATATAACAATGTTTCCACCAGCAGTAAAACCTGGTCATGCTACCGCCTTTTCATGGGGCAAAGGAGGACGACAGCTTTTCGGACTCCGTCGGAGGAAACGTTACTTTTTTATTGCGATTCGGAGCAAGAAAGATCAATACAGGTTATTTTAATTCCAGCATCAGGTTATTTAGGTCCTCCTGCTTCGAGAGGCATCATCAGCACTCAGCCGAAGCACATGCAGAGCTTCCCGTTGGAGTAAATGGTGCACGAGGAGCTCTGGTACTTGTCCCCCAGGATCTTCCTGCACACTTCAGCACACGCCTCGGGGGTGCAGGGGTCGAGCACCACGCCGCCCACGCACTCTGCAAGTTCCGGCGCCGCGCCCAACGCCACCAGCAGCACCAAGGCCACCGCGAACGCACTAACTCGTCGATCAGCCATTATTCTCTCAAATGTGATGGCTTGAGAGGCACAAAGCATATTCTTATATAGTGGTTCGAACCATTGGCCCTATCCTATCTAACCTCATGAGAGATTAAATGTAAAGTATTTTTTTTTCTCTTTTCCATCTATCCTATTTTAATTTAATATAATTATTCCTATACGATGAACTTATTGTTGTGAATCTGAAAAATTCTAATACCCTTAAATTGATTCTTTTTTGAACATTAGAGATATTTGAAAGCTTTAATTTTGAACATTAGTTTTTGTACCAAGTAACTCTTTCAAGGAAGTAAAATCCAAATTGAATTCTTTTCATGCAATGAATTTATTATTGTAAATCTTAAACAAGTTTAATACTCTAATATTCTTCTCCCTTAAATTTGTTCTCATTTGTAAACCAAGTTTATTTCCAAGATATTCATGGACTTCATTGGTATACACCTTAAATTGTAATTATGTTTTGTAAATCCGAATAAGTATAATACTCATTAACAGTTTCTTTCCCCCTTGAACTTGTTCTCTTTCGTACATAAAGCTTCAACTCGAGCCATCGAGAAGGAAAGTGAATGGGCCATCAGATACGTTCTCTGATCACCACATCTCGATCTTCTTCTGAATGAGCCAGATAAAAAACACTCGGTGTTGGATTCAAGTTGAATTGTCAGGCTGCATCGATAACCATATTGATATCTGCGGTTGTTTCGTGATATATCACGCTTTGTGTCAATATTGGATTTAGAAATGTGATTTTTTTTTTTTTTTTGGGATGGACATGACAGGATACTTCAAATATATATTATAATATTGGATATATACTTCACAATCTCCTTATTGTGTACTACAGTAACGGAGGGGAGGAGTAATTATGTAGTATTTCGATTTCTATACTTTAAATAATAATATTACTATCTCTATATTTATAAATGTGAAACATTTAATTCAAATTTTTATTATGTTGTTAACAAATGAGAATGACAAAAATATAATTTTATTTTTAAATTATTAAATACATTCTTTTTCCTCTCTTTCGTCCCATGCTCGATCGTCATTGCTCCTGCTCTCTCTACCATCGTGTCTCCTGCATCGTTAGCTGTGGCCACATCGGACCCGCTCGACTGTCGTTGCTTCTACACTGCTCGATCGTTGTCGTACCTGCATCACTCGTTGTCGCCTCTCCTGCACTACTCTTGCATCGTGAGCTGTGCAGGTGCGATGATGACAAACGATGCAGGAGAAGCGACGATCGAACAGTGATGGCGGTCGAGAGCACAGGTCGAGCCTAGAAAGGAGAAGAGAAAGAACTTATTTAATAATTAAAAAATAAAAATTTATATTTTTTTCTTACACTTTTTGCATGTGACAATCAATGTAATTTTTTTTGGTTAAAACAATTATTAATGTAAGAAGAATTAAGATTAAATATTTCATCTTTATAAATGTAGAGATCCAATATTACTTTTTAAAGTATAAGAATCGAGATACAGATTATAGTTTATAGCTATAAGGGAAAGAAAAATAAAAGACAGAAAAAATATATATTACTCCGCAACTACCGGTCGAGTGCTTATTGCGACCCTCACATTTGCTGCAGCATTTACTTTGCCTAAGAGGCTACAAAAGCGATGAGAGCGATGCCTACGAGCATGGTTGAGAAAAATAATGTAACTTATCAGCCATGCACTTGCGAGAAAATAAAGACATAATTTCTCGTAAGTTCAGACGGCAAGGAAAAGGAAACCCATTTGCTCGCTGTCTTGACACAGACAAAAAGAAGCAAAGAAATAAGAGAAAGAATGAATGAGGGGTAGAGAATCGTAGCCGACCACAAGTTCTTTGGTTCCATTGCAGCTCGCTCGAGACGAAGACAACATCTTTTGCTCCTTTACAGCTCGCTCGACACAAAGATTGTGAGATTGCAGGAGAGCCACGCAAAGGTAGCTAACTACGGAGAAGAATCAAGCATTACTTGGAGCTTGCTCGGATGATTGATTCGTTCCTCGCACAGACTGTGAAGGTAGATTCCAAGAGCCTCATCGTGTTGGTGGCACCACCCGGATTAGCTTTCATCAAGCATTAATGGTTGCTTGAGACGAGAACAAAGTGTTGTACGAAAAGGGAACAACTGTGGGTTATAAATGCTTGGTAGATTCCCAGTGGGTTGAGCAATACCAGTCCGCAGCTCAATCGATAATCTAGAGTTCCGTAGCTGCCACCCTGACATCAAATCCATGGCGTTGGCGTCAGATCTGCAGCACGTACTGTTGCATGTATTGCCGATGCCTGCGATGATGCCGCAGAGACGAGAAGAGGAACAACCGTGACCGTGTTAGCGGATATATAACCATGTTTCCACCAGCAGTAAAACCTGGTCATGCTACCGCCTTTTCATGGGGCAAAGGAGGACGACAGCTTTTCGGACTCCGTCGGAGGAAACGTTACTTTTTTATTGCGATTCGGAGCAAGAAAGATCAATACAGGTTATTTTAATTCCAGCATCAGGTTATTTAGGTCCTCCTGCTTCGAGAGGCATCATCAGCACTCAGCCGAAGCACATGCAGAGCTTCCCGTGGGAGTAAATGGTGCACGAGGAGCTCTGGTACTTGTCCCCCAGGATCTTCCTGCACACTTCAGCACACGCCTCGGGGGTGCAGGGGTCGAGCACCACGCCGCCCACGCACTCTGCAAGATCCGGCGCCGCGCCCAACGCCACCAGCAGCACCAAGGCCACCGCGAACGCACTAACTCGTCGATCAGCCATTATTCTCTCAAATGTGATGGCTTGAGAGGCACAAAGCATCGTCTTATATAGTGGTACGAATCATTGGCCCTATCCTATCTAACCTCATGAAAGATTAAATGTAAAGTATTTTTTTTTTCTCTTTTTCCATCTATCCTATTTTAATTTAATATAATTATTTCTATACGATGAACTTATTGTTGTGAATCTGAAAAATTCTAATACCCTTAAATTGATTCTTTTTTGAACATTAGAGATATTTGAAAGCTTTAATTTTGATGGACGGTAAGAATATGTGTCACTTATTCATTTGTTTGTATAACTCCTAAAATCCAAATTGAATAAGCGATTAATTTATTATTATGAATTTAAATTTAACCTCATGATAGATTAAATGTAAAGTATTTTTTTCCTTTTTCCATCTATCCTATTTTAATTTAATATAATTATTTCTATACGATGAACTTATTGTTGTGAATCTGAAAACTTTTAATACTCTAACAATCTTCCACCCTTAAATTTATTCTCTTTTGTACATAAGTCTCGTTGAGAAATATTTGAAAATTTTAATTCTTATGTGTATAAGAATATTCGTCATTTATTCATTTGTTTGTTTCTCATATGAATTTATTCATTTATTCTTATTTGTTTCTCAATTCTAATTTAACTTTATTACTACCATGCGATAAATAAATTTATCATTGTGAATCTATTTAATACTCAATTATTCATTTGTTTTTGTATGAAGTAACTCCATGTAGGACGTAAAATCCAAATTGAATTCTTTTCAGTCTCTTGAGTACCCAATTTTTAATTTAACTTGATTACTACCATGCAATGAATTTATTATTATGAATCAAAATAAGTTTAATACTGTAACATTCTTCCCCCTTAAATTTATTCTCATTTATAAACTAAATTTATTTCAAAAATATTCATAGACTTCAATGCTGTACATCATAAATTGTAATTATGCTTTGTTTTTATAGGGACATGTGTTGGGAATGCGCTATGAGTTAACTTAACTATCACATCAAATGAAAGGAAGAGTAGAATAAGATAATTTGGGTAAGAAAAAAAAAAACCTCTCCAATGTATTCATTAAAAATTTATGACAATTTACTTATTTTTAGCACAGATATAGAGGGGTACGAACTTTTATATATATTTATATATATATATATATATATATATGTATATATACATATATATATGTATATATGTATATATGTATATATGTATATATATATGTATATATATATATATATGTATATATACATATATATATATATATACATATATATATA